TGCATTGCCAATGGGGAAGTATGGAGGAGGTGAAATACCCTTAGAGCAGGAGTGTCCTGTCATGACCTTTCATTCTCTCCTGTGCATGCATTCCCAGGTAGAACACACTCCCCTCTCCCTTTCCCAGGAATGGCTCAGGCAAGAAGCTTCCTTTCCAGGGAGCAGCTGCAATGTTCCATCTGCCTGGAAGTCTTCACCAACCCGGCCTCCACCCCCTGCGGTCACAGCTTCTGCATGGCCTGCATAGGGAGGTACTGGGACAGCAACAGGGTGTGCCAGTGCCCATTGTGCAAGGAGACCTTCACCAAGAGGCCCTACCTGCACATCAACTGCACCCTGAAGGACATCACAGAGATGTTCAAGGTTTTGCCGGGCCGCACCGGCCCGGGCAATCCTGCCCAGTCCGCCCATTCTCCAGGCAACTTGTCCCTGTGAGGCTGACCCTCAGTGAGCCAGCAGTGGGACTGCAGGTGCCTTTCTGCCAGAAACACCACCGGCCACTGGAGGCCTTCTGCCAGACTGAGGAGGCCTTCGTCTGCACAGAGTGTTTGAGGATGGACCACCAGGACCATAACACTATCTCTGCCAGCACAGAGTGGCTTGTGAATAAGGTAGGCTTTATTGCAGCCACTGGCTATAGCTCTTACAGCACACTGTAGCTTTAAATGGACATGTCAATCATACTATTTGGGTTCTGGCTACTGTGTGTGTATGTGAGTGCATGTGTATCTCAGGTCTGCTCTGCAGCTAATCATAGACTTTTCCATCTGCAGTCACAGATTGGGACCAACCAGGCAGAAATGCGGGAGATGATCATGGACCGACTGAAAAAGATGGAGGAGCTGAAGACATCACTGGCAGAAATCAATGTAAGTGCTCTCTGCTGGTCAATACCCTTTCAACAGGCCTTGAATCCATAACACCTTCAAAACATTCAGAGGCTTTAGCACTTAAACAATAAGGTACCTACTCGGAAATTTCACTTCAAGGCATTCACACAAAGCTTGAGTTGTGCTAGCAGCGTTCTATCTTTGTAAAAGTTTGAATTCAACCTGAATCACCTTTATCTTCTAAATACATTTTCTAGGACTCATCTTGTGAAAGAAATATCTGATGTCAAATTTACTGCTGAACACTTACATTTTATCTCGTAATTAGTTTTATATATCATCCAAATTGGCACTATATACTGTATGTCATTAAACATGTCTGTTGTTGTGTAACATTACCCTAATGGGGGCGCAAAACACATTCCAGCTCTTGCTCTGAGTAAAATACACATAGGAAAAAGGGCCTGAGTCAGAGTCTGAGAGTGCTTATCTCTGTCTGTAGGATGACACACCCAACATTTGTCTGTCTCCCATTCACATGCACCCTCTTTATACACCCATCTCTCAACTGACTCAAAATGCAAGGTGTGCCAATGTTCAACTTACACATTGATGTTTTTGTATTGACTCACATCTATAAATAGTTGCCTTAGTTTAAAATGCAGACAAAGATGCAATCACAATGGCATATTTTTGGTTGTGCATCTTATCAGTTCCATCAGAGGTTTTCTGTAGCACTCACTATGTAAGGCTCCCACCCATCCTGGAATTTTCCTGGAATTTTGTCCCAGGATTGTCCTTGAATTATATCTTTGTCAAGGAAATAAATATCCTAGTTGTTGATCGGTTCTGATCCACAATGTTCCTTGTTTGAGACAAACGTTATGGCACTCTCCCCAGCATCTCCCCCCACCCCCAGGTCTGATTGGAAGAGCTCTCCCTTTTCTGTCCCATCATGCTTTTCTCAGGTGTCAGTAGAGAGGGAGACTCAGGGCAGCATGCGGGTCTTCAAGGCCCTGGCAGGCTCTTTGGAGTGGATCCAGGCCGAGCTGCTGGAGGTCATCCAGAGGAACAAGACAACGTCTGAGCAGCATGTTCAGGGCCTGATCTCGGAGCTGGAACAGGAGATTGGCCACCTGAGGAAGAGGAGTGCCATTCTCACAGAGCTCACAGAAGCTGAGGACTTTGCCCTCTTTCTCAAGGTCAGCCTTGGCGAAGTAGTTGCTTTAGGCTCTGCTTTGAGCCAGTGGCTATGAGAATAAAATGATTTATTCGTATAAATTCAAACATACATTAGTGTTGAAGCTATACAGAGATACAGCACCTGATTCTGTTTATTTGTTTAGTATAAAATCTTTGTTTTACGTTATACTTTAGGAAAGAGTGTTCTGCATGTTAGATTTGGAAGGCAGTCTGATTTAAGGTGTTGCTGCTTTTAGAGACTGATTTTTGAGAGAAGCTAGCATTTGGGAGGGTTCTTAAAGAAGATATTCTTTGCTGTTTGTTTATCACTGCAGTCCTTTCCTACCCTCTGCACCCCTCCACTTGTGAAGGACTGGTCAGGTTTCTCAGTGAATTCTGACCTCTGTGTAGTGGGCATTCACAGGAAGTTGTCTCTGCTTGCTGACCATTTCCTGGCAGAGCTTCGGAGGTTACCAGAGATGCGTAAGCAGAATTGTCCTTTCCTTCCTGTAGTTTTTAAACTTTTGCTGTGTTCTCACTTTTCTTGGCCCGTGATGCTCTTTATGTCAGTGATCTCAAACTCAGCACCATGGGCTGAGAGCATGTAGGTTTTCATTCCAGCCAATCACTGCTTTATTAATTGTATAAATTGATTCATTCAGCCATATCTTTGTAATCCTTGTTAAAGTAAACAATACAATGTGCCTGTTATTCCAATAACAAAAATAACTCATTATTTCATTTAACATGTATTATGTAAAACCAACTGGACCATGTTAGTAAATAATGGATCTGTTTATTTAACCAAGAGTGACGTTATCACAGGTGTTGTCAGTCTTTGGTTGAGCTAGCATGAATCTTTGCCTGTAACTGGAGCCCCAGCTGTACACGATTATGGCCGTTGGTTTATTAAATCACGGGTCTGCGAGTTAGGCTAAATTATTATAAATTAAAAGGTGACAATGTCTGCCAAATGAATTCAGTGCAGTGTAATGTAATGTAATGTTATCTTGAATCAGAGTATCAGTCTGGTCATGCTTACTGGATTGTAAAGTTAATAAGTCAAGCTACCTCCTCACTCTGGTGTGATCATCCAAAACAGCGTCATTAGACAGAGGGTGTGTGTCTCAGTGTATGCCTAAAGCATTGGTCACCAGTAAAGAAAGAAAATGAAAATATTGGATCTGTTGTGGATCTGTATGCATTTCTTGCCATTACTAAAGCCAGCACTCAGCACACACACACACACACACACACACACAAACACATTAATGTGTAATGTGTCTCATTTGAGCTGTTTTGGGAACTGATCTTAAGTGTGTCTTTCTCTTTGAACAGGAATTCATCTTCCAATAGACTCCTCACCAATGAGATTGCAGCCGAGTAAGCAATGCTTTAGTGACCTTTACTGTTTCTTAGAACTGTCTTGTTTTCTTCTGTGATCTCTGTGTTCTTTTTATTTTGAAACAAAACACCTTCCCTCACTATAAGTGACACTGCTATATCTGTTGTTTCTGATTAATTGAACAGTTTACTGACCTTTTCATTATTTTGTGTTTTATTTCAGAGGTAAAGAAAATGCAGGAGTATTCAGGTTGGTATGTCTCCACTATAAGCTATTTCTGGTGGATATCTTGGAATCATTTCATCAAGTTTAGCTTTTATCCTCTTAGCAAACATTCATGTACAATTTTTTAATGTAATTGTGGTATGGTTATAGCTGATATATCAATATGACCAAAACAGAACATATTCCCTGTATTAGAATCATAATCATTTTATTTTGCCATACTGCCCTTCAAAATGAATAACATTTAGGTCATCCTGAATTACATTTCACTGTTGAGGCTTCAAGTGCTCCTCTGTTTACAAACTACTGCAAATGATCAAATGTTATGGAATGATGATTATATGATTATTTTTATCACACCTTGTGCTTTGGCTCAGCTCCATAATGCTGTATATGCCGCACCTGTTACTGCCTTTCGGGTAATATCCACACGCTCAGCAAAATATACAGTTTTAAATCCATTCTCAGCTGGCCTAATATTTGTACAGTTGAGATACTCTATCAAAGTAAAATATGCTCTGTCAGCACTGCTTGGACATTTTGCTGCTTGTGCTTTTGCCTGAGAGATTGCTCCTTTCTCTTCACAGTACAGGAATTAATGTGTCTGAGCCAATCACCCAAGTACTTACAGCCGTGCTCTCTCACTTTTCCTCCACAGTGGATGTGACATTTGATGGGGCCACTGCCCATCCCAAGCTCATCTTGTCTGAGGACAGAAAACAAGTGTGGTGTGGAGACAAGCTTAAGGCAGTCCCAGACAACCCAGAGAGATTTGACCGTGTGATCTGCATCCTGGCCCATGAGGGCTTCACTGGAGGAAAGCACTACTGGGAGGTGGACGTTGGAGACAAGACAGACTGGGACATAGGCGTGGCCAGCCAGCCTGTTCAGAGAAAGGGCAAAGTCATCTTTAACCCCAGTCATGGCTACTGGTTCCTCAGTCTGAGGGACAAGAACAAATTCAGCTTCCAGACAGAGCCTTCAACCTCCAATAACCGCTACCCAAAGCTCAAGAAAATAGGAGTGTTTTTGGACTATGAGAATGGACAGGTTTCCTTCTACAACGTGGATGCTAAATTACACATCTACACTTTCACTGATACCTTCTCTAAAACCGTATATCCCTTCTTCAGCCCCTGTGGAAACAAGTCTGGTAAAAATGAGGCACCCCTCATCATTACACCAGTAAGATAATAATCTTTGACATAAAGACTCAGGATACTTCTCAAGGGTAAACAAACAAGGGTAAAATCTGTACTGTTGTTAGGAAGTATTAGAATTCCAGGAAATATCAGAAATAGTTGCTGACTATTTGTTTATTTGGGAATGAGTTAAACCACATTAGTGGCAGTGTAAAATCACTCAGTTTACCTACATAAAATGCAGATTGTTGCAGGTAGATGAATGCAAAAGGTACCTACTCCAGGTAAGGGTTGAACTCACAACCTCAGCATGGCTCTGCATACTGTCATGTGAGTACCATGCGCTAACTGATTGCGCCACTGGAGTGAACAATGCAGGTTTGAATATGTAAAACAAAATCTCTTCAGGAGCACAAGACACGGTCATAGCCAATCCTTAATTCACGTATGTGGGTTTCTGTATCTTTGAGTTTTCAAATATTCCTCAGAAAGCCTTTTGTGGTGCATCAGGCACTCACATTTTGAGAGGAGCTAAGAATAGTGGCAGCTACCTGGCTTTAGGCTTGACTCATGTGCATGATTCTTTCAAGGCATTGTGGCTTAGCTGGTTAAAACAACTGTCTTGTAAATAATAGCTCCTGGGTCTCAATACCAACAGTGCCTCTAGCAGCTGTTTTAAGTGAAATTTTAAAATGCTAAATACATTACAAAAAAGGGACCTGCTCTGCCATAGACAGTCCTATATGTATGTCTACAAACTGATTGGACTACACCTGTGGGTTTCACATCCAAAAAACTGTCAGCCTTCAAATGAAATCAGTACGTTATGTGTGCTTGCATATGTATATAAACAAACATATGTATAATTCTGCACTCTGGAAAAATAAATCCTAACTTTGATGACATATAGTGCTGGATATGTGATTAGTTGTAAATAATGTAAGTATAAATCTATATTTATTGTTTGAGTTGTTTATGTATGATGTCATTGGGGTCAATAAACTTGTTCTTAAATGGGCACTAAAGTTCTTGCCTTGACTTCAAAAGAATGGGACCATTTCTTTCTTCATTTCTGAGATATGGATAGTTTCTTGAAGTAATTTTAGAATTGCAACATGGACTTTGGAGCTGTATGTCTTTAATCCACAGTGGAATACATTTTACCTGACACAGGTGAGGTTCAAACTGAAAACCTCAGCATGGCTCTGCAATGCCCTGCCCTGTAAGTACAAGGCACTAACCGTTTGCATCACAGACACTGATGCACAACATGTGGTCATGTGTGAGGCTCAAACTGCATGGTTTTCCAGTGTACTGTCATACAAGTAATTATACACTAACTGATTGTACCATAGGAGCTGTTTGATTTATTAAGACGTGTGAATATCATGTAAAAGCTCTCTTTAGTGATCCATAAGATGTATCTTTTTACATTACAAAAATAATATTTCTAAGATAATTCCACAATTCCAGTTATACATTTTAACTTTTAACGCATTGCAATATATACTACCTCATGTTATTGCTGCTGCTATGTAGACATTGAAATCAGTTTCCTCAATTAATCAAGAAATATAGGAGCAAAATAACTCTTCAAACTCTTGTTTTAAACTGACAATGCTTTTATTTACTGTTTTCATATAAATTTGCAGATATGTCTTTAAGGAAGTCATAGTTTAATGAAGCTTCAAGACATAACGATTGGATATTTGTAAATGAGTAGAGCCTACCTCTGCTGGTAACATGACACCCATTTTTGTTGTTGTCATGATTCATTAGTCTCTCATTATTACTTTAAAGGTATCCATGATGAATATACAATTACAGTAAATCCTCTGCTTCTCTGTACTCCTAACCTACAATCTGTTCCTTTCTGAAATCTCTTATGAGTATTGTGAGTTCTGTAATTTATAGAGCAAATCTGAAATCTGAGAAAGAAAGACAGGGATAGAGAAAGAGTGAGCAAGATCAGCAGCTGTGCGTCTGTGTCGCTTTTCCAAAGCAGGGATCTCCGGAATTTAGGGGCTGGGGGTTGTTGCACTGTCGTTGCCTGGTTTTTTTATTTGATTGACAGGTTGACCAAGGGCTCCAGCAACTCCATGATCCATGGGTGGGACCTGTCAGGCAAGCAATCATGTTAGTTGTGATTTAGTTATATTCCTTGAGAAGCTCATTAATGAAATGCTTGCTCTTGTGTCCCTACATGAAACATTACTGTATGGTCTGATCTAAGTGACGTGGAACAAAGCTCCCTGGTCCACACCCCTGATTAAAGTTGTTGTAGACTCATTCAGACATTTTTCAGCTATATTAAATATAATCTCTCAAGTACAAAAATTGACATGTCAGTGAAAGCATGGATACTTTGTCCTTGGAAGTCCATTTTCTGACTTCCTCCTCAGGTGGTTTCCCACATGCCATGATGAATTTTCTTGTATGTTGTAAAGATTTGAAAACACCGTCCTGTTTGTTAAGTTACTTAACAGAGAGGGGGGAAGGGGGTGCTACTGTCCTCTGTGAACTCCTACATCATGACCCTCTACTTCTGTGCCATGAATATTTGAGTAAAATCATTAAGTAGGTGTGGCTAGAGTGGACCCTCCAAGACACACAAAATCAGGTAGTGTCATGGAATCTGAAAATCTCTTCAGTACATTTTACCCCCCTTTCCTGCAGCCAGTCCGGGGGAGGAGCCAGTCGCCTACCTTCCCTCTCGGTCTCCTCACAGGCCACCCCCTGGTAACCCATCTTACACAGGCAGCTGCAGGATGTCCCAGAGAGGACCACCTGTCCATTGTTCATGCAGGGGGCGCAGCGGCAGGAGTTGAACTCCTGCAGGTACTCTCTGTAGGCCCTCTGCAGATGGGCAACTTTCTCCTTCAATGGCTCAGCCACCGTGCTGAAACGAACCAGCTCATATATCGGGAGTGTCTGCAATGGATGTGCAGCCGGAAAGGTCAGTGGAACTTAAGGAAGAAGGGAAAAGTGATCTGAATATACAGATCTATTTACTTGATGATAAAGTGATTTTATATTATTTGTACAGGATATTTTCACAAGGCAGTTCTATCAAGATCCCAGGGCCTGAGAACTTAAGAAACCTCTGAGCAGAAACCAGCTCAGGTCTGATTCTTGGCGGTACTGCAGAGTACTGCAGAGTATGTTAGTGTAAACTCCCTGGTCAGTTGAGGCTGACAGGGAGGTCTAATTTCTGGTATGGAGTGAAGAGAGTGCTGAACAGCCAGGTCTGTTGGCTAACCAGATTGAGTTGCTAATACATAGTATATTTAGGGGATCATTGTGTATGCTGGGTTGTGCTCCAAATGAAATAGCTAGATCCACCATTACATGAGCTGTTAATATAACTTAGACTGTAAAGGGGGTATATTAAATTTATCAGACTTACTGACTTACTGATTGAGAGGCAAAAATATTTTTTCTGTGGTTGGTTTTCTTTGGCAGTTTTCCTGTTTATGGAAAGAGAGGCTTTAAAGTGATTCTGTTAAACTAAATCAGACTGATCGGTTCACCTCAAATTGAATGATGACAGGTTGATACTTGAGTGAGTCCCCCCAGCTTGTATATGTCTTCTCATCCCTTACAACAGTCAGGCCTCCAAGTGGTCCCTCATTTCCGCCCTTAATCAGCTTCAAAACATCCTTTACGTAACTAGAAGATTTATCGTTTTCTGTGTGGATCATAGCAAAAAAAAAAATACACACAAAACATTTTACACATCACTGACTATAGAATTTACAGTCACAAACTAACAGCTTGTTTAATACACAACAAAGTACAATATGACTTTAAACTATAATACCATTAAATTATTAGCTGAGGTAGATATTCATTCTTACTAAGCGTTCTCTGAAACAGAACAGAATGGATCTGTTTGTTTTTGTGCCATCATAATAGTATTTGGTCACTGGCTGATAGCAATAGCCTCAAGCAGGAGTGGCCAACCACTGGTTCTGAAGGGCTCTTAAGCCCATAATAATCAACTAAACCTTTATTCAGACTATAAGTTTTTTTTATCCCTTTTCTCCTTTCTTCCTAAGCCAAACTCAACCAAACTTGGTGGTCTCCCACTAGAAAGCCTTTCCTCAACACCAATTAAATACTGCCTATGTCGTCAGAGGATGACAAAGTCAGCATATATTTAGTTTCTGCATTCACAAGCTCCAAGCCTGACCAAGTGTGGCCCTTAGAAAGCAACACACATTACTACCTTACCCTCTATCATTCCTTGGCAAGACTAGCCCAACTGTTGTCTTACCAATGTGGACATCTGACCATAGCCAGCACAGGCATGTCGGGGAATCAAACATACAGTGGCACTTGCTTTCTGAACAAGTCCTTACTGTATGAGCCACCCACAGCCTGGCTTCATGTGTTTTGTAGGTGCCCAGCTGGCCAGGACAGTGCACTATTGAGCCATGATGCCAAGGATCCGAGTTGCCTTAAACCCTGTTCTTCACCAGCAGGGATGAGCAAACTTCTGCCTCACCAAGGCTGGGATACATTTTCATTTAAAGCATAAAAACTGTCATTTAAAAAAACAACAGACATTGTCCCTGATATTAATATTGAAAAAATAACGATATACACTGAACATATTAATATTAAAAACAAACCCTCGCTATACTCTCCAGTCTTTTCACAGTATTTAGGCTTGATTTTCAAGTTGGATGAAGACATATCCATCCCCAGTGATATACCCAAGCACCACCCAGCTTGCTCTGAAGTTATTCCTGGTAAGTAACAGAAAAAAGAAAAGTGAACAAAATTATTTAGTATCATATTTCTGAATATGGCCACTCTCTTTGGAAAAACACTCAGATAAAAACAAGCAGATATACAGGTGTGGTTCCATAAATTCTCTTTTGCATCATTACATGGCATTTCAGGTTGCCTCTAAAGTAAGTGCAGAATTTACTGAATGTAAAGTAATTTAAGATCCATACAAATTACAAGTATACCAGTTTTATAACATGTAATTATAAAAATATTTATTGACAATTATTGGTCAAAGGATGACCATTTGTGCAGGTATTTTTGGAATAAAAACCAAGACTCACTAAAATTTAAATCCAAAGGATACAGCACTCATTTTTAAGTGAGGACATACAAGATTCATGTTTTAAAATTTAAATACTTTGTTGTCTCAGTGAACAAGGAAATGTAAAAATGCATTCATGAATCTGAGAGGGGCATGACAACAAAGCTCTGAAGTCTCAGCCATGACAGTTCCATGAGTGGGAGACTCGAGCACTGAGGACCTGTTCCATGGACAGAGTTTCTGAATGAGTCCCCCTCCCCCCACTCACTCCTCATTCAGCAATTCTGTCTGCATACAGCTGGTCAGGA